TATATATATAGCTACAGTACAACATGTCTAAGATATTCGGATTTACATTAAAGTTGCTTTTGAGTCGTGTTGTGGGATCAGTAAAATTCAGTTGAACCGACCACTCTTCGGTCTTCACTTTCAGAACTACTGTCAAACCATCCAATCAACCATACACATAGAAAGCAGTAGATTCGAGTCTCTCTCTCGCTCCATCGTTGAAGCTCATCAGTAGTGCATATCCACCGGTTCGACCGAGATTTGAATCCGCACCCATCGCATGGGAACTGTGTCAATCAGCTCACACCCGACCCGACCGGAATAGCCGATTCACGTTTTTTTCAGGTATCGTATTCAGTGATAACCAGTTACTTTCAGGGCACAGTGATAATACGCGCGCACACACCTGGGTACGCGGTTCAAAACTCAGAAGAAATGGTAGGTAGGCCCCACTGTGAAGCCCTGGCGAAAGAAAAACTCCAGTGATTCTCCGATGCATGACTGGCTGTGAATCGGGTGTGAAGTTGGGGCCTGAAGAATGGTTAGTTCAAATTGATGATCCAAAATGCCCGTAGTTTACTTTCTAGTTAGTTTGACAAAATAAAACAATGATAATTTCTTTAAGAGTCTTGTGTGGTTTCAAATATAAGACAACTATTCGAGTTTGGATGAATCAGATTATCACAGTCAGCCGAGATTGAATGATTTAGGCTGTCAACCGATCAGTTCAAACGCTCCATTCATCTTTACCACACTCATATTCATCCCTCTCGCTTGGAAACGGTCCTCTTTTTGGAAATTCATTCTACTGTCATAAATTAAATTGATGGATTTGATACTTTTGCTACATTTGAATAGTTGGGATTCGAGGACTGGAGCACACGAAAAGTATAATTAGAGAGAAATAAGACAGATTCAATAGACTCTCAACAAAATCGATTCACTTAAAACGGGCGTGGATGCTAGCAAACAGTGAGTGTGCAGTTCGGCGACTGGATCTACCGCCGACATTTTACCCATCGATTTGTTACAACCTACCAAAGCATACAGACTCTGTGTGTCCAAACAGTGATTCCCAGTATGTTTATTGTCTTCAAGCACATACACACATGCAGTGTCTGGGAGACAGCTGATAATTTCTGTGTGATAAATCCGGTGTTCCTATCACTCTTTTGTCTTTTACCCTTGTGAGATAACTCAACCCCTCCCCCTCGCCATCTTGAATGTTTCCTCCATATACAACTGGTGAGATTCGATCGGAATAGTTATCCAATAGACAGTGAATTGGAGATGATATTTAAGCCCCTTTGCAAAAGGGGATTGTATCTGGGGTAACAGTTTGTTGACTTATTGATGATAAACAGAAACTGAAAAAAAAACAGATGATCAATGGATTCATGTCGCGAAGTTCGGGACAACTTCCTCAATATGTCATTTTCAACTGCACGTTAGTCTACATGTCTGCTTATGTGCGAGGCTAACATACCGTGATTTCTTGATGGGCTACTTGTGATTGAAAGCGTTGATTCGACCCCCAGTCAATGAAGGCAAAATTCAAACACGTACATAGAGGAGTGCCATAGCTCAAACCAAATCTCATTATTTTTGTACGGCACCCGTGCCGATGGGTGACTTGGACAAGTTCAGACATAGAAGCATACGTTAAAAGCACGTTTCGATGGTCCATTCTATTTCAAGGGAAAAACGAGGAAAACATGAAAATATCAGCACACTTCTCTTTGTCTAGGATCGCATCGATTGCTTGAAATAGATACAGCACTTTTGTGCGCCCATCTTGATCATCCCAATTCAAATTTAGCAACAAAAGTGATCACATGTTTGCCCCAATTCGCGTAGCGGCGAGAGCGGACCGGATATACGAGACACGTCTTGTCGATTATCGCGTGACTTAGCCTTCTCTCTGCCCCGTTGGTCATCTTTCCCAAGCCTATTGTACGTGTGTGTGTGTTCGTGTCCATATATACACGCCATTGAGAGGCGTGCGAACAGGCTATTGTGTCCATTAACTGGGGCATTCGCCGGTGTCCATCTTGCCATAGCCAACTAACTCGACCCGTATCGATTTTGCCGCCAACGTGCGAAGCACCAAAGCCGTACGAGTGTTAGGCCTTGAACACCATTCGTGAGGATCGACGAAACGAACATCTCTCAGAGCAGACCGAAGTGAACAGGGATCATATCTGTCATAATCGGTTAGTCCAAGTGAACCGACGATCATAGAATGAATGCAGCCCATTGAATAAGTGTTTAACGTAATCGAAACAGATGTGAATGAAAGTTGCTATGCTTGCAAACGTGTGGTGTGAATTTCAATCCAGATAGCTTCCTTGAATGCGAAATTGAAGATATCTATGAAGGATAACAAATAGTGAAGAGCTATCGATCGGATGTTCAGCAATATCCAAAACCTGATATATCAGCTTAATGAGTTGAAAAAAACGATTCATGTTGGTGTATTTACAAACCTTCTGACGGTAATGTCTGTGAGGAAGTGAGGACAACCTACGTTACGGACTAAGGTTCAATCGATCCAACAGTCAGTTGCATCAAACACAAGGCACAACTCGGTATTTGATGTACATTTTGTTCAATTAAAGCTTATGAACAGATTTTTCTAGATCTTTTTGACTATTTTCACCGATCGAATGAAAAGGGACCTTTTCTGTTTGCCCTATTCCGGGTGGCAAGGAGGATCGTCCATCTGGAGTCGGAAACGTCTGATGGATAATGCAACATGTTATGGACTGAAATTCAACAGTTCATGCGGTTTGCGAAACACATTCTATGAAGAATAACCCGAGCCTAAAGGAGAATGGCTCACTGAATCTTGGTACTTTCTATCAACAGCAGCGCCTATGGAAAGCAAGAAATGTCGAGTCACACAGTAAGCAGGGAATAACTGACAAAAGTTTTCTTTTCCACTGAACTGATGGATACATAACAGAGCAATCTCATTAAAGTGAAAATAATTTGTGTTTGTGCGGCAAACGTCAGAATTTATCTTACAGACTTCAAGTGATGATAGGATAGGGTTGCCCTGTGCAACATGTGACGGCACACTGAGCAAAGCTGTCTTGAAAAAATGAACTACCGACCCAGGGCTAGTAACACCAGAGAGAGATTTTCATTATTATTTATATGGTATGTCAGTTTCCATCTGCACTAGCATCGTCTCCTGTAGTCAGGTAAACAGGAACCGGAGAATGACCTCAGACTCTATCTTGATTGCTCGAATGATCACCCCGTTTCACGGTTTTAGTATAAAATTCTCATCCAATTATCAGTTTCCCAGATGCCCGGATAACTCGGCCAACCAACATGGTGCACGTGAAGGTGTGGCCTAACTGGAAGTGAGGTCATTTCTAGAAAGGACACGGAAAAAGAAAGAATGAACGAGGGGAGGTAAATCTTTCAACGTCGAAAGGCTAAAACATTGGGCAGGTATAACTGTACGCTATTTGTGGTTAGCTAGAGATAGTTGCCGATCATTTTGAACAACAGATGTTTGGTACACAAACACTATAAGGTTAAATTCATGTTGAAGAAAGAGAGAGTGAGATAAGTGAAGTTCAGTAACAGAAACAGCCATAATGACAAGTACAACAAGTATAGTGGATGTCTAACAGTTAAGGTCGTCATTACAGTTAACCGAAGGTCGTGAGTTCGAGTCCTGCCACGGAAGCAAATCGCTGTTTTCTATTTTTCCGCAGGCAGCTTATGTTGGCAGTAATTCCTTCATGAAAGCGGACCGTGCCGTTGTACACACAGAAAAAAAGGAAGTAAAAACAAGAAATATGAATATTGATGCGGACTGTTCATCCTACGCTTTTCATCTTCACGCACATCCTCAGGTCATTGAAATCAACGATACACTTGGGAACTACCAGACTCGAACATCTGGTTGACTGAATGAACTGGGGATGATGCGTACGAGCGAAATATGAGGGCTGGTCAGTTCGAGTTGATATGAGTTATCCCACATCACTACTCACAAGTAGCTATGAATAAAATCGGAATCAGAATGTATTAACACTTCATATGAGAGCTGTTGTTTTCTTGGAGGAGAAGGGGGGACGGTTTGCAAGAGCGCGCTGGATTAACAAATATGTTTTAAGTTCACATTTCTGAAGAACCATAAACTAACTCATGAGAAAAACCATGTTGTTTCCCAATCGATCAACCGGGCAACTGACCTTTGCCGCAGCAATCAGAGTGGTTGTAGCATCAGCCAACTGTTTGGCCGCCGCGAACAGACGACTTTGCCTGTCCGGATCGTCACCGGACAACTCAGCCTGTGCTTTGATATCGGCAATCATTTGAGCTGTGGCCTGAGCCAATCGACGTGCGGAGGCAACCATGCGTTGACCATCTCCGGCATGATTCTGTTGCAGATTCTCGTAGGCCAATTGGAAATTGTCCAACGCGTCACCAGAATAGGCCTGGACGGAGAGAGATAAGTGTGATAAGTAGGAAAGCGAAGGTGTAAAATTCTATCTTACTCCACACAAGTCTGGATCCAGAATGTGCCAACATTTATGATAAAGCAATACTCATAAAAAACGTGGTAAACCATATTCGATGGCAAACATTACACCTAAGAAACGAAGATTGCACAGTATAGGAGAAGGAAAAGCCTTATCTCATACGTCGTAATCAAATTAGTAAATCTCATCACTACAATATGAGGATTTCAATATTTTTGGATTGATACTTCTTTGCCTAACAAGGGTGTCCTACCGGATTTTCGGTCATCCTCGACGGAATGGGTAAAAGTAGTCGATCGGGAGAAAAATCGATTTTTCCAATCCCCGATCAGCAAATGTTGGAACAACTTCCGTCGTTACGATAAGAACGACACCACAACTTTGGAATGATGACACAGAAAACTGATAACACCTACAGGATATCAAATTGAGACTGATGCGTCCTGTTCAGCCATACCAAGTCATCAGAAGAACCACTTCAATCAACTGATCGAACTGATAAGTAAGTAATACATCTAGAGAATGCGCTAATAGTTCATCCAGCTTGTAAAACAACCAAATACTCGATGGTTGTTACTTGTTGACCATTTTTTACAGATTCGGTGGTAGGAAATAACGACGAGCTTGAAATTAATTGTTCAAATGCCCCCGGAGCTGTTTGGAAATCTTGCCACCGCCGTAGAAAAGTGATCAAACACGACGAAAAGTAACGCTTCTTATCATTTGGAACGGATCAAACTACCCCCATCACTTAAGCATACATACGGAATTTAGAGGGTGAGAATACTTGTCGCTATGCGTACTCAGTGATGAGAATAATTTTACTGATATGTACTTACATTGATCGCAATGCTATAAAAGCGGTGGGAGTGGGGGGTGGGTTCACTGTGGTTATCCATTCTGATCTGAAATTCCATGCATCACGTGCGTGTGTGGCGGACAAAGATATTAAAGTAGGAAACGACAGGTTACAAATGTTATCCGCAGCACATTGTGTCACACAAAGCAGTAGTACCATAATCCGTGCAGCCATGTGAGACCCCGTCAAAGACAATTCTAATCGGACAACTGACCTTTGCGGACGCTTTCAACAGATGTGCATTCAATTGATCCAACGCGTCACGGACCTCGGTGGCCGCGGTTTCCGTATCGGTGATGGCGATCTGAACGGATTGTTGAACTTGCGGGGGCTGTTCAGCCAAAGTCAAACCGGCAGCGCGCGACGCCTGGACCACACCATCCACAGCCCACGACACTTCCCGTGCAGCCTCGGACAATTGTTGTTGACACGAGGGTTGATGGATAGTGGGAGCGAGAACCTGGAATGAGAGAAAACAATGGGATGTTGAAGGATAATCCGAACGGTGTACCAAACCAGTGGCAATGATAGTTCGATTCCTGGAGGCAGAGAGCAGTAAAACACGAAAATAATGACACAATTGACTGGAACATAATCAACAGCAAAAATTGCTCTCGTAGATAGCGAAAACAATCTCGGTTGTTTGTACCCATGTTTTCCAGGTACACCTGTTAAAGTTCAGTTCAGTTCAGTTTGTGGAACCGTAAGCCTTACAATTCTGTGCATCAGTTCTAGTTGGTGTTGATTTGCCGCTCATTTCGTCAATCAATGAACAAAGGACATCGATTGAAAAAGGCAGATAATAGTACCCAGATGGACTTGTTGAATGCGGGTAAAATAGACGTGTGCAGAGAGATGCATGAGTGCCAATGTGTATCACACGATCATATCATTTGGCGTCTATCAATTAAGATGCTAACAAAGTCCCTCACCGAGAAACCTAACAAGACCAACCGCAACGAATCTAAGGTGTTCAAATCTTTGTGCAGAGTTGGATATGGCCACTACTGACCTTTCTTGCAATAACTACTTGCCTCGGCAAATATCCTGGGTTGATGGAACTTATCGGGTGACGTGGGTAGCACGTGCCCCAGCCATCGCAGTTTACGTACGCAACCGTAATTTCACCTAACCTAGACATTACTTATCCGGTTATCGCAACCGACTCGTGTAATGTAGTGTACGCAGATAGAACGAATATATCTTACCAACCGACGGGTTATTGAACCCGATGTACGCACTGCCGAAATTATCGGACCCTCATTACTGCCTGTCGGATATGACTTTCTGAGATTTAAGTTGCACCGCAATTCTCCCAGGACGTATTGATATCATGCTTGTTTTCAAGCAGGTAATATCTCATATACATATGGCCGGGTCGAAGGAGATTAGTTATTCACTCTCTACAAAAAAACAGACTTGTCCCTCTTGGAAGTTGTAATTCAGTCAGAAATCCAGTTGCACTTGTTTCCAGTATTGTCTAGGAAAAAATTCTGAAACTTATCTGTTACATCTCAGATTGTGAAATTGTATATTTCCAGAAAGACAGTCAAAACTTGAAAATTGCAAAGCTGAGCCAACCACCTTCTTATTCAGTCCGCCTGGGGTATCCTTTATGCTGGTGTTTCAGGATTATTGTGATACCGTTCAATCTACGGAACCAGTTTCGAATTATTATCGCCGTTACTGAAAGCAATTAGGACATTATTGGATACGCGAATAATCACAACCTCAAAGATTCACAAGTGCGATCAGTGAATCTCTCGGTATGATTGATAATAGCTCAAAGATTCAAGACTTTAATCGTACACAGTCGATTGGGAGTAGTATATGCTCGTTAACTGTTTGAGTAGAGAATTTCAAAGAGCAGAAATCGGAAGGATCACGAGGGAGACAAGTACAAATGACCAGCTGGAGACCCCACAGATGCTGTCCACTCGGTTCAAAAATCCAAGAGAAGAAAAAAAAACGCATTTTGATGGAAGCAGGTACAATCAGGTCATCAACAGATGAAAGTTTAATGCCTACCTTGGTACAAGCTACGAGTTGACTGGTACACAGACCGGTCTGTGTGGCCGCGGCGATCACACGCTGTTGGGCTTCCGGATCCAAGTTGGGTTGAGTGGCCAGGTTCTTCGCTTTCACTACTAGTCCGGCTGTTGCGTTGGCCACTGCCTTGGCCAAACTCAACAGCTGATCCTGCACAGATGTGGAACGGGAGGGGGTTGTGAATAAGAGATGAAGTGAGCAATTTTTCACAAAGGACTGGTGAAACATAACCTCAGGCGATAATGCGGAAAATAAATTCACATTCAACTGGCGCTTGTCTGCACCTAGAATTCTGCAGCACCCATTTATCTTACCAGAGTTTTCTCGGTCAATACCTATGCATTTTTCTCGGCGTCTTTTGGTTATAAATTTGGCGGACTAAAGAGGAAAGAATTAATGGAATAGTTATATGGTTTGTCTGTTCGTATGAAGTGGCTAGAGTCAACAGCACCAATGTTGACGACACGACCTAAATAATCAAGTTCTCTGATCAAGGTTTTGATCGCTTCACGCGTAGCTGTGACCAAGCAAAACTCTATGCATCCTGCTATACGAATAGACGAGACATCACAATATGTACAACTCGAGAGATTGAGAAATGAAAAAAATGAAACTGTAATCGCGCAGATAACCTAGAGTGATTAACTGCGAGCAAACTTTTTGTACTGATGAGAGTAGTTCCACTGATATTTCATCAGAAGCCTAGACTGGATCAGCTAAGTGACCGGAATCGAGCCATTGATTTCCCATATGGTGTGACATAACGTGTGAGATGTTAAACATGATCACACTGACTATAAACACGTAGCACTGTTGGCCGCGATAGGTACAAGATTGTCTGAGTTGCGGAAAGCATTGGACATGCTTCATGTGCACACAACCATATTGTGATGGAAGGTGGTACAAAGAGGGCCCCGGCTAGCGAACGAATCAAGAATGGGGCGCATCCAACCAGACGCGCAGACGTAGCGGCTGAAAATACCTCGAGAGACAGTGTTGACTATCACCTGAAACGAACGAATCGACAATTACAGCCCCACAGACAATCCGCAGCTAGCCAGAAAAATATACACCGAATGCCACTACGTCGGAGCTGTCAATCGATTTATCTCTCACTACGATCGGGTCAAACCAGCCGGGACGGCACGCGGAAGAAGAGGCAACATACGTGCCATGTGCGGACCAGAAACCAGCAGGGATTGACCAACAGAAAGAGGCATGAATCACCCTGCCGTGCGGTTAAGAATTGAATATATATAACTGAACGCGTACACCGGTTGTTTTCGAATTGGATCAATAAAGGTTTTCCCAGTCAGCTCACCATCTCGCGACAGTGGTGCCGTCGCCCAAGTCAGCAAAAAGCCGCGTTCGCAGACGGAGATGTGGAGCGGTGGATCCGCGATTTTGAATTAATCGCATCATGCAACGGCATCAAAGGGAGTGCGCATTTTGTCACTGCGTTGCGTGCACTGCTTTCTGGACGAGCGAGGGCCACTTACGATTTGAATTTGGAAAGCAATCAAGCCCTGGATTATGGGAATTTGAAAGCTGCATTGGTGACAGAGTTTTCAAAGGAGGGTGACCGCGAGAAGGCAATGGATCAGTTCTACGCTGCGGAGTACACTCAGACTAAGGACCCGCTGGTGCACTACCAACATATAAAGCGACAAATTTCTCTGGGCCTGCCGGGGGCAAACAATGAAACACAGGAGCGGCTTGCTAAAGACCGGTTCATACAAAAAATGCCGGCACGGACGAGAGACAAACTGAGGGTTGCGGTGGCATGCTGTGTGAATGATGCAGATTGCCTAATTTCGATTGCGCAAGCCCGTCAACAAGATGATGTGATTGTTCCGGTGGGTCCTGCTAAAACTGAAGATAAGATTGAACAAATATGTGAAGACATTAGAAGATTGAATGAGGAACTCAAGGGCGGATCACAAGCAAGGGAACGTTTCAGGGCTCAATTTCGACCAAAGCCGTGTTTCAGTTGCCACGGTATAGGACATGTTGCCCGTTTTTGCCCAAACCATTGCGTTCGTTCGCTAGCTCTCTTTGTACCACCTTCCATCACAATATGGGCGCACGATTGTGGGTGTGTTCACTAATCATCCTTTGAGGTGCACAAAGCGATCACTTGACTTGACTTGAACCACAGACGTCGAATCGCAGTCACATCATCCATAGGTTTGTGAGCTGTCTGTGAAAGAGAATGACAGGTGTCACACTTCAATCCCACCTGCCTCCAATAGCCTCAGTATGGTCGAGGTGGATGTCTAGGGTTGCGGCTGGTCGCCCTTCCCTCGGAGCTCGCGAAATGCTCCCATACGACCAAGTGTCTCAAAGAGCCTCCGCTGAGGAAGCCCTACTCAGGGCCTTCTCGTGGAGGTGTTTTCCCATCAAAGTGAGGGGACGAAAAGCAGATATCCGGGGCTATAACCGGGTTGGTGAACCATTGGCAGTTCACCTAGGGGAGTTGGCTAGAAAACCTGATTCCAAACCAACCAAGAGGAGGCCTAGGAACCACACAGACCTTCCCAGATTTGGCAGTGGTCACCGGCTGGATTGGGCATCGAGGTGTATTGGGCACCCTGGACGTTTGACCCCATCCAAAGGGTGTATGATCCGATGAACTGGACACCGGCTCCCAATGGACCGCGGTTTTCACACACCGCCGCACTGCCTTGTGAGCCAGGCTTTGATTGGCCGAAGGCTCCGGTTGTGGATTCCTCAAGAAAATTCATCTGCTTTAGCCTGGGCAACCTGGCAGTATTCCGCCCACATGCAAATTCTTTTTTATAAAGATTATTGTTTGGCACGTAGTCTGGATTCAGACGTATATATATTGCTTGCTTACTTGATTGAAAAACACAATATCTACTGCTTTCATTGTGTTCACTATGTACGATTTTGTAAATTTGAATCCACAAATATGGTGTAATTGCTGAAAATACACCCATCCGGGTGCATAAAGCTACTACTGACTTGACTTGACTTGACATGATATATATATATATATATATATATATAT